TGCTTCTATCTGGAATATCGATGCTCAGAAGTGATCGTCCTACACGAGGCGGTGGAGCGCTGCTTTATCATCGAAACACTCTACAGTGTGNCGCCGGGATCCAATGACCTTTCCCCAGCCTTATTTAAAGATGGTGGAATTAAGCTTGTTAGAGAACTACAAGTTCTGTTCTCGGAAGTGTGGAACACTGAGCAAGTTCCCTCCTCGTGGGTGAATCGATTGTTGTCCTTAGTTTCAAAAAGGGCCGCGCGATGACTGCGCCAATCACAGGGGTATAAGCCTATTTCCGATAGCGTCAAAGCTGTTGGCGTCCTTCATTCTCCGACAATTGTATACTACGCGTTAAGAGCAGACCTGTGAGGAGCAGGCTGGGTTTTGCGCCGGTCGTGGATGCATCGATCAAATCTTCACCCTCCAACAGCTGCTAGAGCACCGTCATACCAACCAAAGACCAACGGTCATTGTATTCTTAGACATCCATGCGACCTTCGACTTTATTGATAGAACCGCACTATGGAACTGTTTATTGAGAAATGGAGTGAATGTATTGAAGTATGTCTCGATCCTCAAAGAGTTGTAAAATCATACCTCAGGTCGGGTTAGGGTCTCGGGCCAACTCTCACCACACTTCGCCGTCTCTAGTGAAGCTCAACAAGGCTACCCTTTATCCCCATTTTTTTTCAAATTTGTCATAGAGGATGTTCTACAGAATGCTCTGTCTGGTCTAGCAAACGGTGGAGTCAAACTCCTCCCAGGGAATAGAGTTCTTGACTTGGAATGTACCGATGGCATTGCCTTGCTGGATGACAACACACAGGCAGTCCAAAACGCTTTGAACCGCTTGGCGATAGAGGTCTCCAGGTATGCTTTATGTTTTGCACCATCAAAGTTCAAAGTGCTTATTCAAAACTAGCAGGAGCCTGTGCCTGCAGTCACCCTCTTTGGTGATCAGCTAGAAGTAGTTGAGAGCTTTAAGTACCTCGAGAGTTTGATCACAGCTGGCGGGGAGTTGGGGAGGAGATCACATCACGAATAGCAAAAGCTAGAGCAGCTTTTGACAACCTGTGGCGCCGCCATGACATCCGACTGTCTCTTATGAGAAGAGTGTACATAGCCGCGGTTCGTAGTGTTCTGCTTTACGAAGGCGAGACCTAGCCTCTCCGAGCGGAGCATGCTAATCGACTGTCTGCATTTGACCACGATGTTTCTGAAGCATTGCTCGTGTCTGGTGAGAAAACCTGGCGATTAATGACGACGATCGTCGTCGTGTTATGGATGCGGATAGTCGTTCTCTAACGGCCGAGGATTCACTTCTCGATTGGATCCCGGTTAACAACCGACTTTGAATCGTTTGTCTGGATGGTTCAGTACGAGTCAACAGCTACAGAACGAAGCGTCGATTCGTATCCGCAAATGCACCGACAGATTGCAGTTCGCCAGACGTGAAGGATGAATTCTACAAGGACCTCTCTTAACTGCTCCAAAGTGCTCGGTCAACGGACATTGTGGAGGGTTTAATGCTCAAGTGGGATCCCTGGACGAATAAGAGAGAATACTTGGTGGTTCACATGCAATCCCAGCTAACCTGACTGACAACGGAGAACATCTACTCCAAATTTGCACTAACCAAGGGCTGTTTCTGTCAAGCACGAACGTCTCGCACAGAAAAGGGTACCGACTTACGTGGAGAAATCAACTTCACCACAGCGCTGGACTCCAATCAACCACATCGCCCTCAGCCACTGCTGGCGCCGCTCCTACTGGTCAACATCCGTTGACACGGACCATGCTCTGCTACGAGCGAGATTCTCCCTACGTCTCGTAAAAGACCGCAGAAAAGCCACCGAAAACGGATGCGCACAATACAGTGTCAGCAATGGTTGCAAATTGGTCTTCAAAGCTAAACTCTCCGATTGCCTACCAGCTCAACCATCAGCCGGAGGACTTAGTGAACACTGGTCGGCAATCAAGAAAGCGATCCAAATGTCAATCAAAACAACGTCAGAGTCTGGCATACGGTCAAATAAAAAACGATGGATCTCCCCGACCGCCGTTACCATGCTGGACGCTCGCAAAGCCATTCCTTTGGATTTAAAATACAACACAGTGCGCAAATCCCGTAAACGCCGGCTCATCAAGAGTCTGAGGAATGACTTCTAGAAGTGTAGAGAGATGGAGAAGGATTCGGCTATTTGTAATAGTCGCAATCTTTTCCGATTAATTAGGATCACAGGTCCAAGGAATGTAAGCGTAGGTGAGTTAATTAATAATAATAATTAATAGTCCGACGGGAAACTGATTCGCATTCAATAACGCCGTCTTGAGCGATAGGTAGAACATTTTGAGGCACAGTTCAGCTGGTCCCCGTCAACACAAGACCTCCCGCTACCAGCTTCAACTGTGCAAATAGTGTCAGTCGACACCAGAACTCCGTCTGAAATGGAGGTTACCCGGAAAATAAGTTATCTCAAAGGACATAAGGCCTCCGGCTCCGACGAGCTGTTCCCATCGGTTTTTGAGGATGGAGGTCTAGCCTTTGTTTTGGAGTTAACAAAACTCCTGGACTCACTGTGGGAGAGGGAAGAGGTTCCAGCTGAAAGGTGTGAATCGGTCAACATACCGATTTACTAGAAAAACGACACGTCCTCTTGTGAAAACCACAGAGGAATTAGTTTAATCAACACTGCCTCTAAACTTCTCGCCAACATCATACTCCGTCGATCGTTTGCATGCGTGAGAACCAGGCTGGTTTTAGACTTGGCTGAGGTTTTATAGACCACATCTTCAATCTTTGCTAAATTCTGAAGCAGCGACATTCCTTTCGCAGACTCACCATCTCTGTCTTCTTCCATCTGACAGCGGCCTACGACTCAGTCGACTATTTAAACCCTGGTGCTGCCTCGCTCTGAAGGGTGTGCCCGAGAATTTTATTTCAATAATACAATCCCTGTGTAACAATAGCCGAAGCCGTGTCCGAGGTTGCCGCACTTTTTCACTCGAGTTCACCACGGAAAGTGGTGTTCGTCAAGGTTGCCCTCTCTCGCCATTTCTATTTAACTGCGTGATATATTTAATTTATATATATAGGGCCTTGTGGCCAACTCTTTTTGGTAGTCGGCTGGCACGGCCGAATCAGAAAGCCTTGTGATGTCAAGCTGTTTGTATCTCATCCTTTTGCGGCCAACAAATAGCAAAAACAACTGGGCACAAACCAGTGCGTCTTCGGAGTCCAAGTAGGTATACCAATGCAATTGGCAGGTTATAACTGATATGATCATTGTGATTCGTCATATGTGCCGAAAGGGGTCTACGCCAAGTGGCGAGGTGACGCTTCGGGTGTCTGAAGTTCGTACTAATGGGGAATAGACCGTGTTCTGAGCATACACTAAGAAGTCTATCCCCATTAGCTGAGAGACACCTAACAAGGCCATGATGGCCACCAGAGTGGGTCTCATCGGGTGACAGACGACGAACGCGTGCATTTAGGTCGCCGGCCAGGATCATGATAGTCGTCTTAAGTGCTTTGATTGTGATAGAAGGCATCTTTGAATGTATCCCTGCTACAGTCTGTAGGACAGTATGCAGAAATCACGAATCAGCACCGTTTTTCTGCTTTTCGACTTTTCTTGAGCCTCTGAGTCCCACTACGTACAGTTGGCTATCTATCGGGATCTAATCCAAAAGACCAACCTCGGCCCTGGCGCATAAGGCAATACCAACGTCTGCTCGATTAGACGCTGAAGCGATAGGGACCTCGGAAACGCGCAGCGGAAAAGTTTCCTTTGGATCGGAAGGAGACGTTAATCGGAACACAGATCTCGGATCCTGAATGCGTGTTTCCGAGAGTCAACACAAATCAATCTATAGACTTTCGAGCGCACGAGCCAAACCTCCTTTTTTCATATACCCATTAGGATTCTCACGTTGTACGAAGCTAGTTTGAACGCACAGTGAGGTCAGAGGAATGGAACGGTCGGCTTCGAGTGACAAGACATTGTTGAGACATATTTCAAGGAGGATGGCGACGAGCTACCACATGAACCTACGTCAATGTGCTAATCTATCACCAAAAAAAAGAACGACAAGAAAGTTCAACAAAAACAAAGATGCATCTCATGCATTCAATGGGTTTCTCTATTCAGTGCAACTAACTCGCTTCCGATGGGGTGTTTGGTAAAGGTACACTCAATAATTTAGTGTTGATCGAGAAAACCAAGAAGTGTAAACAAGTGAAACTCACTTTGTCAAAACACGTCACATTAATTACACCACACACGTTAATCACGCTGGGGTTGATGCAGTAAATACTTTGTTCACGAAGGCGCCTTTGGGCAAAGACAACACCGATTGTCATTGCCATGGGAAGAGCAGGAGGCACGGCGATGGTGATGAGATCCAAAGCTCGAATGATTAATAAGTGTGTTTCCACTCCAGAACGATGCTAAAACCACATTTAATGGAAAAAGTTGGGTGAAATATGAAACGCACTTTTTACCTGGCCCACCAAGCAGACTATATACGACAGCGTACGGACAAAATTCCACGGTTGTCAATCGAAAGGTATAAAAGTATCAACGGGATGAAAGGTGTGCGTCATGAGGAATACAGTTGTATGTTAGTTTCAATGCATGTGATAAGTAGTAAACTATTACATGCACCAGTGACTGAGGTAGGTGTATAAACGCAACACGTGCAAGGAATACAAAGATCCATTAAATGGCCGGATACGAACTAAGCACATCCGGTAACTCCCATCTGATTGTCCTGTATTCGGTACTAATACTTGAAAAAATGTATCGTTAACCATCAAGGATGAATGGTAAAAGTGCAGAGGTAAATAAATCCTGCTAAGCTTGTTACATTTAAGTCACGTAGGCAAAGCGACAGATTTAAATACGATTTGGTTGTGAAAACACTGTAAGGTGGAGTTTTCATTAAGGTTTGTTTCACACAATCATTTAGCGCGCTGCTTCATTCGGCCGATTGAACGAAACGAAAATTTAATTTAAATGAAATCCATTTGAACGAGTAGGAAAGTGACCAAATTAACTGAAAGACACATGTGAAGGGCAACACTGCATAACCTCTGAAAGCGTCGTCTACCGACTCATACCACAAACTGTACCTTTCCTCTAGGTCCAAAACATGACATCTGACATCACTTGCTAAATGCAGTCCGTTAATTAGATTCACCTATCATACAATAAGCAATAATTTTGTATCAAACAATGCAAAAATCCGAAACCAAGATGACTTTATTTGAAGACCATAAGAATAAGCCGCAAGAAAGGCGACCATAAACCAGAGAAGGATGTGAAGCAGATATTGGTCAACAATCAACAGTAACGAAAAAACAGCCAGTTTCGACCAAAACTCAGTATGAATAACACGTCATTTATTGTTAATAAAACCCCGAGTAGTCCTGTTTCCCGTGATTCTTTTGATGGTTATGATCAAAATTTGTCTTGCGTTACTTAAAAAAAGAACAATAACAAGCTAAGAGGCAAAGAAGGAATTTGCATTGAAGTTCCACAAAACTATGGTTAAACCTGCGATCGGATTTTTTTCTAGCTCACGTTATTCATTTGACATGACTGCATCAAGCGGCCGAGATGGGAACATGAGAGAATTAACATGAAAAATTGCTAGTGTGCATAAAAGAGTTAACATAAAACGGATTAACAGCGCTTCCGCTATGAAAAGGATGCTTGTTTTTACCACCCTGGATCAACGACCACGAATACAATAAAAAGGCAAGTGAAATGCCTCCTCTCACCGGTATTCAGACGAACAGGATGGGATTCCCGAACTCTTTTGTCAAAACTTCCACTTTGATGACCGATATTAGTTGCACGACAGCAACAAGAAAACAAATTCTCAAATTGAGACCACACAAATGGAGAATTTAGATTCAAGTTTAAACAAATAAGCCTCTTTCAAAAAGATATGGCATATCATAAAGCCGCGTGAATAACTAAGCTACGTATTGTTTTTTAAAGGGAGAGATAAGCAAATTGATTTTATTTCCGCGTTTCCCACACTCATCCGGCAGTTTTGTTAGTTTCGTTAGACTTTATCTACGAAACTAGTTGGATAACCATATCAGGGGAAAAGTCATGCAGAAAAGCCGACACCATGCCATTCACCAATACCACGCCTTACGTGGTTCGCCACTCACAGTCCCGGAGCTTAGGTTACCTGCTTCCAAGACTAAGCAGCAGGTCTTCGTGACTATGGGGTTCGCCCCGTCTGCTGTTCACCACATAAATGTGTAATAAAAAACACTAAATTACACTTATCTTTCTGCGGATGGGGCATAAAGCATATAAATTGGAATTACTGCGAACTCAAAGTCAACTTTCGCCGGATCGATCACTATATTACGTCATCTCAATGACACTTGTTTTTGTGAGTAAATGTATCACAATTACCAAAAACATGCTTGTTCGTTAATCCATAGTTATTGGCAAAGTGTGCTTCCTAAATGTTCCGAGGACTAAATATCCCCCGTCGGGATGATAGAAAATATTTTCATGATGGGCAACTCAGAGTAATACCTGTTCAGGTTAACGTAATACGAAACAGGATGTCTAGAAAAGTTTGCTTACCATATAGTACACAGAAAAAGCAAATCCAATAAGAGCGACACAAGCCAAGGCTGCCACAAATTTCATTGCATCCTGGGTAAATTTGAACTTCAAAGGTTTGGGGAATAAAATTGCGCGAACCAATTCCCCTTTAGCGGTGCGAAAACCAGTACGGGCAACCACAGCTAAAACCTTCTCGTCCGCATAATTGCGCGTTTGAATCACAGAAGTTCCACCAAATAGTACATGACGAGCCGAAGCCCGGAGGTTGAATACTTCATCTTTTGTGTCTCCTTGCTGAGGAAGTGGTGTTTTAGTCACTGGAACGCTTTCACCTATAACACGAAGAACGGTTATAATAAAACTGGAATTCATGTGTAGTACAGAAGACTAGGATACTAGCGAGCATGAAAACGAACATTCCAGGGCCAGCAGTTTTGACAAATGACATTTCGATGCAAACATTCAAGCGGATAACAACAGATAAGATAAGTATTCGCAGCAAGTACACATGACTGAAATAAGAAAGCTAGATTACAATATTGATAAGTTTAGCATTTTGAAACGACAAAAAAATCTGAGTTGTTTGAATTACCTATGCGAATTCATCTAAACCTGGGTCAAAAGCATTTAAACTACAACATATGAGGCGTCACGAAACAAGGGAAAAAGGAGGGAAGAGGAACGAAACAGGGTGGGCGAGGCCACATACTTCGTGTGTGTATCAGAGGATCTTGGATGAATTGATATTTTGTTTCGCGTCAGGGCAAGAATAGCTAGTGTTACAACAAAGTGTTTTTTCGTGAACATAGTGTTGGTCGGAATAACACCCGTCTAAGTGGATTTTCTCGATGTCATTAGATAATTATACTCATCTCCCCAGTTTTGTACCTTTGAGGCATAAGCGAAACCTCTTCAATGTCTAACTGCTCACATTAGAAATACATGTTCAGCGGGAATCCTGGAGTCATAATCGACCCAGCTAAGACGTCTTGATAAGATGATCGCTCGAACTTTTCCTGCGGTCCATTTACATATACAGTTCACCGATCCATAATGCCATTTAATCCTAAAGATAAATTGCCGAACCCCACTTCCTCTATGTGGACCTATTATTTCGTTTGCTTATGTTCGGTAAGTTACATGGACACGACGATCAGACATTTTTCTCAAAGAATCAAAGCAATTAAACCGGCTTGGTTAAACACGGAAACCACAAGGACCATTTCGAGTGCAGTCACGGGGCATACCAGGTAATTGAAGATGTGTTCAAAGTCGTCTACAAAGTGCCCGAAAACCTTCCCAAACCCTTGCATAACACCATCTTGTGACAGCGGCGGCCGTGGTAATTAGGTTATTGCGACCAACTCTATGTTCACAAAAACAGTTTGTTATAGCCCTACAGCTACCCTGGCCCTGATGCGAAACAGAAGATCAATTCACCGAAAGTCCCCTGACCCTAACCGGAAGTATGTGACCTCTCAACCTGTCTCACCCCTTATTAGTTTCTTGATCCCCAATTCTACACCAATGATTATTAATCTTTGTTATTACGTCTTTCCCAACTACTCTTCACCACAACCATAACATCCAATCAATGCATATCCATTCTGACATTATTTCTTATATATACATATGTATATAAATATATATATACATATGTATAGATAGATAGATAGATAGATAGATAGATAGATAGATTGATTGATTGATTGATTGATTGATTGATTGATTGATTGATTGATTGATTGATTGATTGATATAACTATATTAGCCAGAGAGGTTATTGAAAACGAGCTTGTTTGCTACTCGCATTGCTTTGTCACTGTCACAGTGGGAATTTTCAGTACCAATGAGGAATTAGTGTACCACCAGGGAATGAAATCCAGCCAAGAATACAACACAGGCATAACTATCTTCAAATGCCCAAAAGGAATACGGTAAAGTACTTAACCAAGGTAACCATGTGACAAGGCATTTTTCTTTTGGTTATGTTTAAGGATTTTCACTATCATCCCAAGTGTTCGTGGTTTGAGCTGCTGTAGGGATACAAAAACAGTTCGCAATGATGGGCAGTCCTTTTGAGGCTAAAAACACCTTAAATTTAATTGTATTTAAAAGCATCACAAATGAAACTTAAGACGTACGGTATCTAAACGATAAATGCCTTGTGATGGATTTCGACCAGTAAAACAATAGTTTCACGAAAACCCTTACTCCTTGTTACTACCAGCGACCTAGAGATCGAATTATCAAGGAAGTTTAAGGAACACTATCATTAATATTATTCTTTATGCACGTCCATTTAACCTACCCACTAGTGGGTTATACAGAAAGTGAAGAACACATAAATAATTTCTTGCTTATAACTTGGCAAACAGCACAGAGCGACTATGAGAACTTATTGCGGATTGATAATAAAATTGAGGCACTCAAAATGAATAACTAAAACTAAAAACGAAACGCGTCCACATTTTTTTCTTATTATTAGGAAGTGTGATCAGTTATCTGATCGACTATCCAGTGGTCGGAAAACCACAGATCAGATCGCACCGATTACACAACTTGAACATCATCCCTTGGAGTTCTATTCATTCATCTCTAACAGGACATCGGTTCCATGAGAACAAGATGCAACAGACCAACTGGTTGAAACTTCATCAACCTAAAGAATAGCAAGTCCATATTGATTTGTTCTCTGACAGTTACGATTGAGCGATATGAGTACATTCAACTATTTAACCGTTTACAAGAACTGAATCTGTTCGAACTCTGTTAGTCCTCATCTTTTTCAATCAGTTTGGTCGTAATCAAGACAATTTGGAAGTTTACAACTTTCGTTCTTACTAAAAATCACGAAACGTCAATCTGTTATCTCTCTGTGGTACGCAATGTATGATAATGGCCAAGCGAAATACGGATATAGATACAAGTCATGTTTGAATAAGCGCCTTGGTAAAATGCATTACGTTATGTAGGGAAGATCATGTTACCGATAAAATTTGCATAAAATACAACTGAGAGAATGACAAATTTCCGCATTTTGTCTAACAATCGATAGGTAGGGAAAAATTCTGAAGATAGTTCCATGAAAATAGCTCATTATGCGATAAAATACAAAGGGATCAACTTGGAGGGAGCAAACGTTGTCCCTAAAACCGATATCCTGTGAAAGAAATCTACAGAAAATTTAGGACGTGGAATATGTAACAAATCATGCTGTCAAAATAAAGGGAGTACCCTTTAGTACATATAAAAATGAGTAGCATATTTTTTTATTAAATTTTCCTATCATGCACAAAAAACTGATTTAAGTTTTTACAAACTAGATTTTTTCAATGGATTATTTATAAAGATAACACACCCTGCTATCAACATTCCAATACTCCCTCTGTTCTTTGATCCTAATGGGTAACCTAATATAACAGCACCCAAAACTGCCGCACAAATGTGCATGGTTAGCGGTTATAAAAGTTGAACTGAAATGAACTGAGATGTATATGCCTTTTAGAAATGGTAGACTTCGTATGATCAAAATTTTATAAATAACAAGTGGATAGATTGAACTTTAAGTATTATGCAGAAGGCCTTCAAAAATAATGGGAGTATTGCCAGGTATTTCCATCTGTGAGAACATCTTACACTCGTGAACACTAATTCCAAGTCTAATGTTGCATTATAATTCAGAAAAAAATGATAACGAATCAGCTCTTGGGATACTTCGAAAATAAGCGGTAAGACGAATTAGAGACCAACAAATGTGTGACAAAATGACTCATTTCGCTTTAAAACAAATACATCAATACTTGCCGGTTAGTGTACTTTCGTTCACGATACAATTTCCTGATAGCAATAACGCGTCACAGTGCATTTCGCATCCATTAGGTGGAATTTCCATTATGTCTCCTGGTACGAGCTCCGTTGAATCTATTTGTTGAAACACTGTAATGGAAGAGAAGTTTTGACAGTTTGCCAAATCTCAGTCATTCCTTTTATTACATTGAATTCTTGAAATCAGCTATTATCAACCATTTTAAGAAAAATCACCCCCTCCAGATCTAATGTGCGCGTTCTGATTGGCAAGACTCTGGTACGGCGTTGCCAGACTAAAACAAGTAATGAAGGAAAACGAAACAGGTTACGGTGCGCATCGGCAGCATTCAGAAAGGGAGTCTCCATCAGACCAAAGGGACAGTGTTAGCAGCCAATTCAGGATCACTGCGGAAAATGTTTTTCCTTTCGAAACGCTCACTTTTGGTTACAAATAAGTAAATTGCAATGTACTGTTGAAGGTTTGAAGGTTTGTTGGATCCGGACATTGAAAAATGGTCATTACTCAGCAAATAATGACTACAGTAATACATCGCTGAGTGAATCCAACCACCCCCAAACTGGGAACCACTTAAGAAAAGTGGAAAATCTTAAATGACTGTCGAACAACAACGCCTAGTGATTAGACGAAAAGCCAAAATTATTTTCCCCTATCAACACTAACAGCATCAATCACAAAACTTCATTTGTGTAGAAGTGTGTATGAATCTAATCATCAGTAATAAAGTCTGGTTGACTGAATTAATGAGAATACTGCTCAAATCACTGGGCACAAGCTGTAGACTAATCAGTCAGTTGGTCTGCGGCTGAAATATAAGGCGGAAAACTATTGCACGGTAGAACAGGAAAATACATTGTCAAGGAATGTGAATAAAGGAGTACACACGCACATTCCTTTGCAGCACCATGTGTAAATGTGAGAGAACAAACAGCTAGAAAGTGTTCTGTGACCTCGAACGTGAAATGAGTCAAGTGTGCCATATATATATTGATTATTCTGTCTAGATTTGATACAATGTGCTATAGGTATTATTTTTTCTCTTAAAATTATTCAAGACAGAACCGTGGCCGCAGGGAACAAACCTCAAAGCAAACACAATAAAGATAACCTAAAAGGGCTCATAACGTCAAATAAAAATGATTATATTGGAAGCTTAGAGAACACATGCACCTTTTGTAAATGAATAAAACTAATGATGAATTCCACCAATTAAAAAATTGTATACACAATGTATACTATTCAAATACATGATACATGATACCAAACCGGGTATATATATTTATATATTTGATAATTAGTAGTATGTGAATGACTGGACAAAATTTCCCTGGAAGCACGCGACCGATTTCGCAGTTCTTGCCGCTCGTCATACATGCATATCCGGTAGTGTTTTGTCAGTTCATTCATATACTTGTACCCAGGAAGTGTATTTTCGTCACAATAACCTTGTTTGCAATACCGGGTGACCATTGGGTAGACAGCTCTTTCAGTCGTTCCAATGAAGAACCAATGCTATGATTCGATGTTTTATAAGTGGGTTAGATGCTACTAACCGCAACAAACGTGACCTGATGGTCTTGGCAGAACATTTGATAATAAGTAATAACAATGTATATATATGCACTTACCACCGGCTTATAGACAATCATGGTGGTACCATGTGATTATTGAAGTGATATCGTTGAAAATTCTGTCAATATTGTGATCAAATAAACTAGGAAATTTACTATTCAAATCATCTATTTTGTAAATTATATCCCTCGTTCTGAGCCTCATTTGTGGTAGATTACTAGAGAAACTGCAAAAATGAGCTCAACAAAATTTTTTTGTGAGAGCAGAAAAGTGGTGAAAGCACCTAAATGTGAGCCAACAGCTGCAAGTATACCTACCAGAAATGGATCTGATTGTGCTACCTGCTTAACCGCTCTTCATTGGTTTAATGAATATGAGGTGAAATGTCTAAATGAATTCAGGTAGCTCACCAGACGTTTCCCAACTAGGGACGTGCTTAGCTTCCTTGTGAAAATGAATTCCTTTTAAATTGAGCGTGTATATTATACTATGTTTCACGTTCCTGTGTACGGACTGTGAGCCAAATAAATCATAGTGCAAAAATCATTATAACGAAAAAATGGATCAATGAGTGGCTTTAAATGCAAGCTGCAACAATCTTGTCAGTCATGCGATGAAGCACGGACAGCCATTACGCATACGAGACAACCGAGGGTTGTTAGCTTCTTCATTTAAATAATGGTAACTTTGAGAAAAGCTTATTCCGAAGCAAGGCGGTATTTCATTGGTACTTATTATATCATATAGGTTGTATCATGAATCTGTTAACAAGCAGCCTTGGTATCGAACCAGATGCGTGTTGAAGCTGAATACTTGAGATGACATGATTGAGAGGAGGAAATTCCAATATCCGGGGTTGTAACCGAGTCAGTGGACCACTGGTAGTTCACCTAGGAGGGCTAGCTAAAAGCCCTGATTCCAAACCAACCAAGAACCACACAAATCTTTCTGGCCGTGGTAGGGGTCACTGGTTTCATTGGGTATCGAATATATTGGCCACCTTGGACGTTTGATCCCGTCAGAAGGGCGTATAATCCGATTAACTGGATTGTGATTTTCACACACCGCCCCGCTGCCTTGTAGGTTAAGCCTTGGTTAGCCGAAGGCTCCAATTGTTAATTACCTAAGAAGCTTCACCTTCTTTTCCCTGGACAACTAAGTAGTATCACGCCCTCGAGCAAATCGTGGACCTTTTTCTTTTATAAGAATTATTGTATGGTGATTTGTTTGGCACATAGTTCAAACTCAAGAAAGTGAACATATATTTATACAGATGCCTGACATGTTCATACGGCTTACAATGTCTCTTTTACTTGAGAAATTCGCCGAGTAAGTTTGTGGTTCAAAGTGGTCAAGGTTAGGGTGATCTCATCATAGCTACTGCTAAATTATGATAACCTTGGCCAATAAACTGGGTTATGTGGATTGCTTTAGGCATATTGTTACAGGGTGCTCGGCGCCAGTTTGTTCGATCATTGGGGAAAATTACCAATTAGAATCGTGGAGCACGTTTATCTAGTCACTTCATATAGGTAAATGTATTAGTCAGCATCTCAGGCATTTGGTGATTTTAAATCCTATTTCAATCTTTTTCGGTTGAAATGAACTGTCAGAAAACCGAAATCAAAACCACAGTACGGAAGAACCTATTTTATCACTGTTCAAACATGAAGTAAGGACTTATGGTAATTCTAATTTAAGCGGGCATTATTGTCTGACATGTGACCTGGCGTTTTTCCAACATCACCAGTATTAATGAGTATAAACAAATGCATAGTTAAATGCAGCAATCACTCATCTGAATTAACCATGCCGCTTAAACCACTGTGTTTATTAACTGAGTATTAAATAGATCGTTGGTATTTAAACTTAGTTGTCTCAACAGCATTTAGTACGAATAGTGGGTCTTGACGATCGATTCTGTGGCCAGGTATTGAGTACTAAACAGTTGTAGGCAAGCTGAACAAAACGCTTACTAACTAGGCTTCATTTTCTTCTATATTTCATCTATTTCATAGCAAACAAGAACTTTAAAACAGTTGTCAAATGCTGAATATAGGGTGTACAACAAGAAAAAAAAACCAATTTTCATGGAAAACTCATGTTAGTCTAGCACGATTATTGATAACAAATGTTGAAGATAGATGTCTCTCTATGCTTTCAAATAGCCAAATATGTCCGTTGGTTGACAACACGGTGAATGTGTTTTTGGTGAACTCATTCTCAAGCCAGTATTGTCACATTTATAATATTTTCATTATTAGTTATTAAGGTCAAATAGAAAGACTGATGAGAAACGTTTGTTGTCACTAGTTCAAAACCATCCCAAATGTGTGTGGTGCTTGAACCGAGTCATCAAAATTCACTGTTACGTTATTTTTATGTGCAAATTCTATTGTCTCCCTTTGGTCAAGCATTTCGAGTGTTCAAATCAACTTCTGTTTTTTATAAGGTTCAGGCCTCATTGATCTTTCTGAATCCTGTTCCAAATTCATGTAATTGGGAATAAGTTCATCATATATTCTCCTACTCTGTGTATTCTTCTAGATCCTGAACGTCTTTGCAAGTAATGATAATAACTGAGAGTCGATGACAACGAAAATAGTGACCAGGTTTTCGACCACTAATTTGACTCATTTATTGAGTAACCCCTTTGACCAACTGCATATAATGTTTCCAAGATTTTGGGAACAAATACTCTGTGTCATAATAGGGAAAACTTTAAACCAGATTACAAAATGCTTGAATATTCCCATGATAGCATTGAGAAAACGAGTCGGTGAGCAAACAATTGTTTTCGGATATTCCTATTCATGCTCTTACATATCATACAGTGAAAGAAATTCTTACCTAAGCATAAACACTGGCTTATTTTAAAGTCAATATTTGGAGGTAGAGAGTAATGGGAGCGTGTGTGTGTGTAGTAAGGTGTAACGCGTTAGTCGATGTGACCTTCTCCACTTCGGTCAAGTGACACGTCATGTTCCGCCTTGGTTTTCACACACGGCCAAGGCAATTGGAGCGCCTGCACCAATCGCTTTTGAGCACACAGGTCGGGGCATAGTAAGCGAATGGCGATTGCCTCGGCCATAGCTAGTGTCCAAACTCAAAATGTTAAGTCAGCGAAAACGAGTCGTTTTTTTACTAAATTTAAGCAAATGATGTGGTACGAATGTTTATTTGCAGCATTGCTGAAAGAAAAATATTGCGATCCTAACACGAACTTCAAAGCCTCACGTAAAACAAGCTGGCATATGTATAGTACGATGGGGTAACCAATTACAATCAGCAAGCGTTTAAATGCAAACAAAGAATATCGAACATAGAGGTGAAAGATCAAATCTAAGGTAATTGAACTGATTGCCTTGAATTTCGGGTGCATAAAATTGGGCGACATAATTGAATAAGTAATGCATTACGAAATAATGGCCACTCAGAAAATTTTATACACATCCATAGTTGGCAATTCCGGAAGAGGAACTTAGCCAATATCGTTAAAAAATGCTCGTCTATAAAACGCTAACTTTTAAAAGCGATCGCGTTTTAAATGATACGTGCCAAAGGTTGACGTCAGCTCTAGACTGTACGTTTGTAGTTGCTCAACTCAAATTTGTTAACTCTGCCAGTAAAAGTAAACAGGGAGCCTAACAGGACCTATGTGACCCAGTTTCCTAAACCCTAACCAGGAGACTAGGTCACATAGGCCCCGTTAGGCTCCCTGGCTGGGGACCTCACCAGGAAACTGGGTCACATAGGTCTTGTTAGGCTCCCTGGCTGGGGACCTCGGGATGATGGTCCGAAGAAGATACAGAGTAGAAAAAGCCAAGGGTGGTCAAGTTAAGACCTGGCACGAGGGTATGAAAACCCTAAGCAGGTAAAGCCAAGGGTGGTCAAGCTAAGACCTGGCACGAGGGTATGAAAACCCTAACCAGGAGGCTAGGTCACATAGGCCCTGTTAGGCTCCCTGGCTGGGGACCTCGGGATGATCGTAACCGATGGTTAAAGACACTGAGCGATATGTCTGGGTTTCGTAAACAGTGGCGTTCGTGCATCTCCTCAATTTCTTCTCAACCTTAGACCACTGAACTTCTCCATTTTCATTTCGAATCCACTTTCAACTTTCCTTTCTTCTCCTATTCTTCATCCCAGTGGGCAGCCAAAAGACAGCAACCAAAACCGGCGCACGAAAGTGCATGGTTGATGGTTGTTCAAACTGAAAGTGAAACTGAGTGCACACTGTGTGCCAATTCATCTACAGTTGCGATTATTTGTGCTTGTATTTATACATTCGTTCAGCACGACTGATCGGTTTATTGTGCTATACATTGGTCAGCTGGTTCACATCATCCACTCAGAAGATTATACAAACTACTAGCATCTCACATTTTCGTCTTCTTTTGGTATTGATGCAATGGATAAAGGGAACATAATGTTTTGAGCAACTTCACTGTTCTGCTTCAAATTTTTCTTTATGCGTAAGAGTTTTAGGCTCAGAAGATTGAGAGATATGCGTAAAAAACAGAAAAGGTTTCCTCTTATTTTGCTGGAACCTCCAAACACATATGTCAACCAAAGACAGCTGATGAAGAATTTCAACAAATCAACTTTAACGGAAATCATTGAAAACTGATTCGTTATTCTCTACCACACTTTTAATTTATTCAAGAAGACTAGTCATTATAACTCCAGATCGCTAAATTACAGTTGCTAAGGGTTACCAAACAATAAGACAATTGCCGAATACATTCATCAATGTGGCGGTAACTAACCCGTAACTCCGTCTATATCCCGACATACTGTCACCATGGCTGAGCCACAAATGGTACTTTTCAATGCGCGTTCGTTCTGGAAAAGGTAAGTGTATAAAAATCGAAAAATAGAGAAATGAGGCGATAAGACAGTATGCAATAAAGGTTCTGGAATTGAAAAGGATGGCTTTAGATTACTGAAGTTGTTACAGAAACGAAAACTCAATAGATTTATAAAACATCCTAGCTCATGAAGCGTCGCACTGATAGCTTCCGCGGGGTGAAACTAGGAACGCAAAGAAACTATGAATAAAATATTCATATTTATTGTAATGTGATAGGATTGTTTCAAGTCGCAAGGATTGCTTCAATTTAGGATAAACTACTTGTAGACCAGAGCAAACATCGTTTAGTAAATCAGATAAACGGTGAGTTTATCAATTGAATAAAAGAACTCCAACGACAGAGCGGATTGTAACGGAGCTCAGCGTATAAGTTTACCTGTTCCAACGTTTTCATTCCAAATTACTTTGCTATGGTAAAAGTATATCAGCACTTAGTCCTCGGTTAACTGGAGTAAAACTAGAATGAAACCGCTATCCTGTAATCAAGCATGAAAATCAATTTTTTTGTACATCAAATGACTTTCATAATTGCATATTTCAGAAATTCTAGGCCTGATCAAAAACTGCTCTGATTATTCCACTTACTCCGCTATTGTACTACAAAATGTATTATTCTTAGAATCAGAAAATTAGACTAAAACGTGTTGTTCTCTGTGATGTAATTCGAACTGACATTAGAAATTCTCTCAAAAGCATGGTGTGGCAATTTAGCTCAATACTTCAGGCTAAAGTAGTACTGGTAAACGATAAATTATGCGGTTGTTCTCAATGAAGATTAATAATTAATTAATTGGAAGAAATTCAGTTCACAATTTAAGAACAATTTGCGGCTGGTAACAAAACCCATACGTAAAGAAAGCTCTTGTAAACACAATATTTTGACTCCCTGAATGTATTTTGGTTGCACGTTTATCACGCGATGCGAGATTTGTGATGATGACTATCGAGTGAACTGTTTCAGCTTGTTTCGGTATTTTTTCAATTTAATGCCCCTCAAATTCAGATGACCACAAATTTACATGCTAAAAGCAATATTCAACCGTTCATAAAGTAAAGTACAGATAACTCTATCGGTTGCACAAACATACCACTCAACCTACCCGGCGCACTTCGTACACTTGGATGACGAGAGATATCACAGAAATAAGCAAAATGCACGATGCATAAGTCCAGTAATCCTCAGCTAACCACAAAGCGCAGCTAAATGCTTGAAAACAGTAGAATGGATTCAAACACTGAAAATCAAATAAAAAGAAGGGCCGCTTTTGAATTGAAAATACTGATAAAATTATGGAATAAACAATTTCAATTTGGTCCATGAGACGCTCTTTTGATAGGTTACTTCCAGATGGTAAATTGAAACAAGTAGATGCAAAAGTAGTTCATCAAAAGTTCTTTTTCTACAAATTCAGGTAATCTATCAAGGTAAACTTGAAATATTAAATAGTCTATGAAAGAAAATCATCCCTAAGATATGAAGTTGATGTGGTATTGAGCCGGGAGACATAAAGGTCGCCCACATTAACGGCACCTCGTCATATCCCTTATTTTTTCTTTTCTTTTTCTGAACCACATCCTTTGGGCGGTGGTGGCCCGGTATTTACAGCACCAAATTACCACCTCGGAGAATGTGTGGTTGAACCCCACCACCGCCGCCTGACTTTGGCCATGGCAGCCCTTTTATTGGCCGCTTCCCCCTTCCTGAAAATCGTATCATTGTGTATTCAATAAAATGGAAATAAAATTAAAAAGAAAATGACGGAAGACCTCAAATACTTTTCCATGCAAAATTCAGCAACTGTGACCGAAAATTGGGAATGGACTCACTTCACTTATAAGAGTAACCAGAATTGGTGTCAGCCGAAGATAGATTTCATTGGATTCATAAAGAATACGATTGTGGATAATAATCTCCTCGGTCAGTGGTCGAATAGGAAAAATTTCACTATACTTTCTTTCTTCCCAGCCACTAAATAATTGAGAAAAACGTAAAGCATAATTATTAATAATCTGATAAAGTTACCTAATAAATAATCAGCAAACGGGCCCGTAGAGGGTTCATTTGTAGCGATAGTTAATGAATACTACAGTCAAAAGCTACCTAAACACGGCAGACATTCAGCTGAGCAGAGGTCCTATTTGGTCGTTTATGAACTGATTAACAGCCAACATTAGGGAACTAGTATTAGCACTGATCCTCACTGGCCTCAGAATTACGGGCATCATATTTTTCGTGGGTATATTTGTCCAGTGAGAGCAGAATAATACACATTCGGATAAATTAGTTTTATTGGTGAATGCAATCATTTTTTTATTTTCATTTTTTACTGTAAAACAATAAAAAAACTTAATGAAAGATAAACTCACGGTAAAAGTTCGAAATGCTGTTCCTCTCTATTCCACACGTATTTGAGCCGCTTGTGGATGAAATACCGTAGTGGTTGAAACTCCTATACTAACATCAAAGAATCTTTTACTAAAACTTACTTCTTCTGAACCATTTTTCATTGTCTCCAATGCCTTCATTTTTTGGTTTGAGGCATGAAAGTTGCTATCAGAAGTTTTATAAAACAGAGGAAAATTTACCGTATAACCTTCAAAGATGATCTCAGAACCTTATGTGTAAAACGAGTTCCAGAGGAATCCTTAATAATCTTCGACGGCATGAAATGGGAACACTCACTGTAATGAGCACCTGCTCAGCGTCAGCCAGTGCACATACTCTGTGTGTCGTCACCAAAATCCAATGAGGTATCCAATGATATATAAGCCTCAGAATACCCAAAGAAATAAAGTAAGCAAAGAACACAAAGGCGGATTTCCATGTTGATCTTTTATACCCAACGACTACCTGAAAACGAAAGTTAAATGTCCAATGAACACGCATATGGTGCAAGAC